TGAGATGGAAAGCTACAACCGAAGCTGACCAGCTCCGAAGAAGTAAGACTAGAACAGATTTGATCTCCTGCTAGTTCTCAGAAACAGCCCGTCAGCAGAGATGAAGGGGAGACCGACCCAGCTGCAATGAAGTTAAGGGAGCTCTGCTGGATTTGCATCAGCCGAGGGGCTGATTTAGACAAGCAGCAAGGCCTGGTGGATGGTCTTAAAGGAGTGGAAGATGGGTTTAACCTTAGCTGTGCCACAACACTTGAGGAAATGGCTTCCCTGCTTTGTGCCCAAGGTTAGGAACAGACTATTCATCTGTACTGGGACAAGTTTTAGGCTACAGAAGAGAAGACTGAAGTGGGATTTGATAGCAGCCTTCACCTCCCTGCAGGGTGGCTCCGAAGATTCATTGAATATAGGCTGGAAGGGACCCTGGAAGATCACTGGGTCCAACCCCAAAGAGGCTGGAGCTGGACTGTTCTCAGTGGTGGCAGATGACAGAACAAGGAGCAATGGGCTCCAGTTGCAGCAAGGGAGGTTTAGGTTGGATATTAGGAAAAACTCTCGCTAGGAGGGTAGTGAAGCACTGGAATAGATTAGAGAGGTGATGGGGTCTCCATCCTTGGAGGTTTTTAAGGCCCAGCTAGACAAAGCCTTGGCTGGGATGGTGTAGTTGGGGCTGGTCCTGCTGTGAGCAAGGGGTTGGACTAGATGTGACCTCCTCCTAAGGTCCCTTCCAAACTTCATTTTCTAGGATTCTGTGATTATAAGTTGTGCCTGCTCTTATCCCAGAACAGAAATGTCCCAGGATTGGCATGTACACACATCACCCCTCCAATTGCAGTTTCCTGAGTGGCTGAATACACTGCCACTTTTCTGCCATTGATTCAACGATGCAGTCCCAGGACAACCATTCAGATACACTTTGTGATATTCTGGGGCAAACTGTTAGCTTTTCTTACCCTGTGAACTGTTTTATTCTTTGCCCTGGGACAGTGGACACAGATGCCTGAATGACTGCATTTTGGCCCAGGACAGATACGATGTCCATTTGTAGCCTCAGTTTCTCCAATCTGTAAGCCAGAGTCTGGTCACCTCTCTCAGAAGGTGGTTGAGAGATCAGTTGTTTTACAGACATGCTTCCCTTCTCATTTACCATCAATTTATACTGCCAATGCCTCTGCCTTCAATGGAGTTAGCCCCCATCTATGCTGATGGGAAGGACCTCTGCATCTGACAGTGCAAATAAAAAATACAAAGTACTACAGAGCTTAGCTGCCTTCTCAGGCCACTGGACCCAGAAAGGCGCTTCATTTAAGCCAGTGCATTGTTGTGGATATGAAACCAGTTTCAATGTGGAGAGAATCCAATTCCATTTTATTTTAAAACCAGGAAAAAACCTCCCCAAGGCTGGCTTCCTCTTTTCAATCACTTCTACTTCCAAAAGGGACCAGGAGAGTCCAGGACAAAACATAAGCCATTAAAGATACTTGTAGGAAGACCAGGTTTGTTGTAACCTCATGTCAGCTCACCCATGATAAGCAACAAAGGAAAGACTATGGGGGGGAGTGAAAGGTTTTCCTCGACTTAACTAACACCTTCAAAACCTGTGAAGCACCGTGTCTTCACAAGGAGTTAAACATCATAATTTGTAGCTGCCCTGCCAAAAGCAGCCCTCCCGGCACACACAAGCGCACAGCAAAGCGCCTGCATTTGTGCAGTCAGAGGCAAGCAAGGGTCATTGTTGCTGGTAACGTTTCAAGGCGCTTCACAGATCGGTTTGCTCTTCCCTCCGAGAAGTGCAGCGCTGTGGCCCAGAGCCCTTTATGCCTTGCCCTGTGCTTCTTGCTGATAAGCTCTTGCAAATTCCATCCAGCCCGACACAATCCAGTTCAGCGTAAGGAAGTGCTTAAAATAGATCAGAGTCCAGAGAGGAAGCGGGCCCCTGCCGTTTAGGCTTTCACCTGGAGCCGGGATGATCTGCATTCAGTCCCTAGTCCTGCCATGAAGCTGCTCTGCAATGGCTGCCACGTCCCTTAATCTCCTGTTCCTGTCTGCAGTAGGAAACTCCCTTTGCCTGCCTGGTCTCAGTGGTTCTCAACCAGGTGCTGCAGTACTCTGGGGTGCCTTGAGATCCTGTCAAGGGTGCTGCGAGGTGCCACACTGTCAGGTGTGCAAAAATGATTGGCAAGATAAACCCAGAGATTGCAAACAGGAATCCAGAGAGTTAAAAACCTTCTGACCTGCTTGGGTTTGCCAAGTTTTTTGCAATGGAAGAATTGCTCTATACTTTTTCTATAGTTAAAAGAGTGAATACTAAGAGCTGGCATTTTCCATGAAGTGCCTCAAATCTAAAGGGGGGGGGGGGGGGGCCTGAATCTAACAAGGTTGAGAAGCGTGGTTTTAGACTGTTAAATGGACAAGGATCATCTCTTGCTATGCAAGACCATATACAGCTCCTAGCACAATGTGGCCTTGATCTCACCTGGATGTGCTTACCATAGCGATCATTCCCTGGCAGAAAGCATCACTGAGGTCTTTCCAAACTCTACTGACTCTTTGCCTTTGCTCTCGTACTTCCACGCCGGAGGATGTTACAAGAGTACATTCGTTCCCTAGGAGGCCAATATCCCAATGCTGCAAATGGGAAACATCAAGAGGGAGAGAGAAGTTATTTATACAAAGAGGCTTTTTCCAGTTTTACAGTTAAGGCCAGGCTCAGCTTGCTCCAAAGCTAAGTCACCTCACGTCAACCAGGACACAGGTAGGAGTAGCAGCCACCTCTCCTGGCACCCAGGTCTTATCTTAAGGGCAGAGGTTGACTGCAAAATGGGAAGCCAGTCCTGGCTAGAGCCCAGGTACATGGGAAAGGGGTAGAAAAGGTTAAGAAAAAAGGCAGAAAAGCTCAGCACTAAGCCAGCCTCTCCTCTGGGATGGACCTCAAAGCTTGCAGGGTCTGTTTGCTGGACAACTAGGGTGGCAACCGGTATTTCCCACAGCCAAGAGTAGACAGCACGATGCTCCCCCGATTCAGCATGGAATCAGGCTTAAATCTCACTGCAGTTAATCATACGTATGCCCAGGCTTAAAGCCAAGCCTGTGTTTAAGTCCTTTGCTGGTTCAAAGGATGTGGGCTGGAGTTAGGGCTGAGAGGAGGGTTGGAGCCGCTGACTAGGGTGCGATGGAAAGAAATAGCTCCAAGTCCGCTCTCAGCCTTCATAGGGAGCAGTGAGGGAAGGAGGTTTCTGACATGAACCCCTTTTACCTCCCCGTCCAGATGGAGGAAATTTATTTAAAAACGGCAACAGGGAAGGGAAACGATGGAGTCCGGGTCCCTGCCGGCTATGTTGCCGCTATAAACCCAGGCTCTCATTGAGCCTCCCATAACAAACAGCTCATCGAAAGCAGACTGGGGTCCCGTTGGTCCGTTTCCCTTCATTATTTGCAGTTTGTACACAGCGGTCATTAGGGATTCATTTGGTTTCCCTAGCAGCAGGCATTAGTCTGGCTTTTCTCTCCTCTCTCTCCCTCTCTCTTGCGAGCTCCCTTTATTTTTAGTGTCTTATTTACAGTTTGACAGAGTAACAGTATCCCTTGCAAACTACTCCAGCAGCTTTAATCGGGGGAATAATAGGTCCTGTCTGGAGATGAATAGCATCTAGGGGACAGATTGTTCCACACTCACACGGTGGGGGTAATTTATTTATGTGCGCACATGTCAGGAGGAGAAAGGGACGGGGGGATCTGTATGCAGCAAGGACACTGACAGCGTTGAATGGAGAAGGGAGAATGGAGTCAAATGCCCGGCACCCCCCCCCCCCCCCACTGCCCACGGAAGCCCCCCAGGCGCAGA